ATACCCAAATAAATCTAAAGTGTTCTGATAATAAACTAACAGCTGAATACACCGTCACCCGTTAATCTTACATTCACCAGATGTAATCGAGGTAAGTAAAACATATGATGTGACGCACACTCGTCCTCTATCACATACAAACGAAGTTTCAAATAAAGTGTGTGAAAATAAGGTACTCATAATAAAGAAAAATTCAATTACATCGTATACAATTTCCTGTAATAATATTTAAAAGATTTATATATAGATTTGTGGGGATTATGTTATGAAGAATACAATACTTATCAATTATACTGCCCTTTGCGATTACATGTATGTTACAGATTTCTTTTTAATTTCCCCAAAGATAAAATTGAAAGGAGAATCTGTGACGTAGAGGTGTAATGTTTTCTTTGATTGGCCGTACCTTCTACTGTGGACTGCAGTTTCGCCCATTGAAGGCTCATCAACACATCTTAAACCCCATTAAGACTAAACGGTATTTAGACTAAATGAATTCTTGCCATGCAAAAGGAAACATACACATGCAACAAAGGTTCGTTCGGTGTTGAAAACCAACTAATTACAAACTCATTTTTAAATAGATGATTATGATGTTATTGTTCAAAATAAATATATTTCAGTTGCTATGCTTATAATGATCACTTCTTATCAGTGCTTTATGTCCCATAGAAGCGATGTTTCGTTGTTCCAACAGAGTAGTAAGTTCTATAATATTAATCACGCACGTACGAAGTCGGGGATCGAGCGAACCCCCTATATTTGTGAAATAAAAGAATTATGCTTATATAGTTATAGCGCAGCTGCTTATGGTATTTAACGTTTTGGATGTTTGTGGATTTTATCTGAACAGCCATGCAATTGTTTAAGCTATATTTCATGCAAAATTGCTTCCAGGTTTAATGTCATAGAACCTATTTTTTTGCAAATTTTCTGGGGAGATTACCCCCCAGACCCTCGTAGCATTAGCATGCTGATTATGTATCACACAATATATGTTGACTTTTGATTTCACAAATTAGAACCCATTTTTCAAACATTCTGCATACAGGTTTGTTAATGTTCGAGTCTTTAAACCCTTCCACGATAGAAAGGGTGGGAATGGCTTAGTGGATAATATGCGGTCAAATCCCACTGTTCGCGATTAAAGTAACTCAAGAATTGGCAATAGATGCTGTTAATTACCTGCCTAAACCTGCAGCTAGTGCAAATAACCTTGTGTAGTTTTACTCGTATATCCAAAACCTGACATTTAAAAACTTATTACCACCGACGTCGTCATATGATATGCAAACATACATCCCCGAAAGTTAATATCTATCTTATCGTACTCCACGAAATGTGACAAAAAAGTTTGATTCCTAATGAAGGTACTGTTATGTCTCCGTTTGTTAATTGATTTCCCGTAACTTCGTTCCGACGAAACTTTAGCGACACAAGTCCTTACTTAGTAAAACTGGTTTATTCTTTCCGAATACAACTTTACCGATACACTTATTTTCAAGAGTCGCGCTATAACAACGAACGTGCTGAACTTCAACAATACTATCTGACTGCAGTTCAATTACTCACTACCTACACACACATTATTGTCACGTTGTGAGCGTCTTATATATATACCAGACAAACATATATCTAGTAAATGCTAGGGCATTCACGAAGGAACAAGATAGTTCTAGAAACGTGGCGTGACACTAGTCACGTGACCTCGCTGACGCAACACTGCCCCTTCCTTAGTATTGTTCGTCCCGAACAATAGCCACATACAATAAACCAATAACAATTAACAATAACTTAATTAAATGTACAGAATTACAATTCAACAAAGTCTCTTAATTTTACGGGACGTATCTTCTTCCGTAGTGGTCTCCGTTTCATTGGCTTCTGCTTCATGTGGGGTTCATCTGCTTCATCAGTAAATGTCCTTTCGTCAGTAACAGTCACATCAGTGGTAGTAACTTCATCAAGAGCTTCATCGTTTCCCTTCTCAAAACTGAGTAGAGTTTCTTCTTCGACGTTGGCTTTTTCAGGTGACACCTCTTCAGCAGCGTCATTTGTTCCTTTGTTCACTTTGTCCCAACTGAAATTTCCTGGACCGTGATAACGCCAAAGCCTGTTGGCATGCACCACTTTTGGCTTACCTCGCCGACCACATTTTACCCGGAAAGTCACGTCTGAGAGACGATTCACTATGTCATATGGGCCTTCCCATGGAGAAGACAACTTAGGAGACTTCCCTTTGGTCTTCCTGGGATTATAGAACCATACCTTGTCTCCTGGTACAAGGCTGACTTCAGTAGATCTCTTATCATAGGTTAACTTCATCGAATCAGCAGACGTTTTCAAGTTTGAATGCACTTGATGGTGAATATCATCCATCCTTTCCAATAACACTTTCACAAACTCTGACACATTTTCAGGCAACTCTTCATAAGGTGGGTGGCCCTTATGTTTGGGTCCCCTTTTAGC